TGCAGGAAAACGTGGCTGCTGGTAACGGCTACATGGCCTTGAAGAGAGTGATGTGAAGGCTTTTTCTCAATAAAAAAAAACAAGATGTCAAGATATTAATAAGGAACAGATCATTTGTAATGTACTTTCAAAAGCAACTGATCATGTTGTAGGAGGACATACTTGCCATGCTTGAGGTGGAAATCGACTATTGCTGCTAACTGAAACAATCTGATGCAATTCTAAAAAAATCTGTATCAAAACCAAAAATATTGAATTGCATCCCCGAGGTTAAAACATGTTTTACACTCTGTTAATGAGAAGCATGCAGCTCACCCATAGGCCCGAATTACATACATGCACAAACAGGACCTGTGAACATGCTTTAATCTCAGAGTGGGGCTGCTACACAGAGAGCGCGCCAGAGCTGATGGGGGTCCAGTGCCTTGCTCAATTGCAGCCCGGAAGTACTCAGGAAGTGACCTGGCACTTCCCAGGAACCAGACCAACCTTCTTAATTTGGACTGCATCAGGACTTGTACTGGTGACTCTCCATTTCCCAAACAAAGTCTCCCAAACAGACGGAGCTACTGCTGGAATTGGTACTGGGTGGGGTGGGGGGGGGGAGTACTGGAATTGACCTTTAAAGTTTGAACGTACAAGAAAATGAAATGAATGCATGCCAGAAAGAACAAATGCTAAACTGAGCACTCCTGAAGTGAACGTTGTTTGATTTAGCAAAATGACAGCCGGCAAATCCATTGTGTATTGATTTCTGAAAACAAATCATTAAACTGTTGCTTTGTGAATTGAGAGGCACTGACTTTCCTCCCACGGATCTATCTGCCACTCGAAAGGCTGCATCACCATTTGAATGTATGAATCTGAAGCTGAGCTCAGATTTCATCTCCCACTCACTCAGCAGCCCAACACACACACACACACACACACACACACACACACACACACACACACACACACACACACACACACACACACACACACACACACACACACCCACACATATCAAGTCCGTCACTTCTGTAATTGAAATGCATGACCAATTTCATTGCCCTTATCTGTAATCTTTTTTCATTAGAGCAAATTGCTTTTTGATGGAAAAGGCAATTTCATAATTTAGGAGCCTCCCATGTGCATTGTGGGAAAATCTAAAGATGGCCGAGGAGAGGAAGACGTCAGTATGGATGTTGTATATACATTTGAATATTATTGGCAAAGTGAGTGTGTGTGACCTTTTGACCTGTAATAAACAAAGTCCAGAGGGACAGGCATGCATGCAGCCAGAGATCAGCCTTGTATTTCAAACATATTGTTTGTTGCATATCAAATAAATATTGTTTATTAAAAGAAGATGCTCCTCTGTACTTTTATTTTTATTATCAGGATGTTTTCTCTTACAGCAAGGCAGTGGAAATAAAATAAAAATCGCATTTAAGTTAAAACTGACTGGATATAGTTTGTGTTATGTTTGTGCTTAAAGAATACAACCCAATGGGGCGGCTGTGGCTCAGTTGGTAGAGTCGAATGTCTCGCAACCCCCAGGTCGGGGGTTTGATCCCCAGCTCCTGTAGCCACATGTCTGATGTGTCCTTGGGCAAGAAAACTTTAACCCAAATTGCTCACGCTGCTTTGGTGGTGACTTACGAATGTGTGTGGATGGGATGAGTTACTTCTGATGGTCACATTACATAGCGACCTCTACCATGAGAGTGTGAATGGGTAATTGTGACCTGCGGTGGGAAAGCGCTTTGAGTAGTTTTGTTATAACTACATAATATATAAACCCCATATTTGGTAACATGTGAAACCTTAAATGAGAAATGTCGATGTTTTTTTAGAAAAATATATCCCCAGTTTGAATTTGATGACGATGATGATGTTTAATTTAAGAGACTGAAAAAGTTAATATTTAAAGGAATATTATGTGACATTCTGACTATTAATCTAGCAGAAATCAAATATACCTTCTGTAAATATATTGTGGAGTAATGGCTTCCTGAAAGAGAGTGCGTTCAAACTCCCATTGGATTTGTTAATCTTTGCTCTGTGGTCACATGGACAGGAAAGCGCTTCCTTCTGCCGGTTTATTTTTCACTCAAACATGTTTCAAACATGTTTCTTCTGAGTTAGCCCTACCGCCACATGGGGGACAACACATGGTCCCATCCACTCAGGGACACTGTTTCTAATGACCGAGTGTTGTTGTAAGAGTACAACTGAAGGAGGACAAACCGACTGTGTGGTCAGTTGGTAGAGCCGTCACCTCTCAACCGGAAGGTTGAGGGTTCGATCCCCAGCTGGGCAACATGTCCGATGTGTCCTTGGGCAAGACACTTAAGCCCGAACTGCTCCTGTTGCTTTGGTGGCGGTGTATGAATGGGATTAGTTACTATTGATGGATGATACTACATAGCAGCCTCTACCATCAGTGTGTGAATGGGTAGGTGTGACATGCACTGTAAAAGCGCTCTGAGTAGTTAGAGACTAGAAAAGCGCTATATAAGCTCAAGTCCATTTATCATTTACCATTACTGTACGTTGCATACCCTTGCTTGTGCTCGTGCATGAGCAACCGTACCGTACCATTCCAGGGCCAAGGTCAAGGAAGTGTACAGTGTTTGGGCACAGTACAGATTGTGCCCTAAAATGGACTGAGGTAAAGTGGACAACTGTCCTGAGGTCCAATGAGTCAAAATCTGTTTGGAAATCCTGGACGCAACATCCTCTGGGCCAAAGAAGAGCGGGAGCATTCAGCTTGTTATCAGTGCTCAGTTCAAAAGCCCGCAATGTGATGGTATGGGATGTCAGGGCTGGCAACAACCACGAAATGTATTTCAAGCGCACACACAGCGCAGCAGATATTCTGTAGTTTGACTGTTTGACTCACCTCACCTGAAAATGTTTCCAAAGCAACAGGATGTCTTCTTTTTTCCCCAATAATGAATCGAACACGACTTTAGACTTATTCAATTAAAGTATCTTGAGTTATTTTGAGGTTTAAAGTTCATTTCAGTCAGGAATACTCTACAGATGTATTTGGAGGTATTGGTTCTGCTCTTGGCTCTCAGCAGTATCAGTGCAGCATGCCACAGAGATCAAACTTTTTCCCCCCATGTGGACATGCAGAACAGAACCTGAGAGTGCATGTAATGATACTGACATCTTGCAGACATAACAAGCAAACAGCTCATCCTAGAATATAAAATGTTCTGACTGAAGCTGGTGGAGGATGTGATGCAGGAGGAGTGAGAGGCAGAATGGTTTAAAAAGACCACTTTGTTGTCAGAGTGTGATAATGACTGGTTGGCATTGGGGCGGTTCTCAGATCAGCTGATGACCGCTTGGGGACAGGACTACAGTATTCTGTCTGAACTATCGCAGGACTCCATAACTCTTTTTCGTAGATTTTCTGGAGTGTACTCAGCAAAGTTAGTCTCCCCAGTTGTCTTGAAGTTTAAAATATTCACATTTCTAATATACAACCACTTTAAAGTTCAAGGCAAACCAGGGTTTTAAATGGCAACCAATGAAGTCCTAGACATTTGAGATCTGCCAGCAGGAACAATCAACCAAAGGTTTTAAAAAGGTTAATTCAAACACATTTACATAATTGAATATTGACTCTCAATTCAAGATTCAAGATTTTTATTTGTCACATGCTCATACAGATGTGCACTGAAATGCAAAGGCTGTTCCGCAAGGCCATGCAATAAACACTCAAAATGTAATAATACACATAACTAGGAAATACTAGCCTAGCTGTGTGTTACCAGTATTATTAGGTCCTCCTTTGTTGGATAGTAAACAGCTCAATCAGGAGAGACAAGTAAATGATTGAAAGGTGAAAGGTTTATTTTACATATGTGACATAGAATGATTGTCAGAGAATCTTTGGTGCTTGAACTTTACAGGGAGACAGGATGATTGAAGATGTCTGCCCTGAGCGGCAACAAGATCTATCCCTCCCTAGAGTCCAGACCCTGGTGGTGGAGGTGTTAGCGGATGATGTCGTCTGGGTTGATGCGCTGAAGAAGTTGATTGAACTGTGAAGACTAGAGTTGATGAGGAGATGGTTAATGACGTCATCTGAGGCAAACTGCGAAGCCTGGGGTTGACCGTACGATGGCTGTTGATGTCATCTGAGGCTGAAGGGATGAAGGAGGTGATGAAACTGCGAAGGCTTGGTGGCGGATGGGGAGGTGGAGGGTCGCTCGTAACAATGGCATGAATGAACTAGTGGAAGAGAAAGACATTTTTACAAGAGACAGCAGCAATGTGATAGGCTAACAATGAGGGAGTGGAGCAGTGCTATTGGATAGATGTGACCAGGTGATGATTTTGAGAAGTTATGAGTGAGCATGCGTTAAGCAGTGATTTGACATCATGAATAAACAATAAAACAAGTGTGCAAAATAGAGTCTTCCTGTCTGAACTTTCGCTAGAGCTACATTTCAACAGAAATCAAGGCCAGTCTTTTTTACTATTGAGTAGTTATTTAAAAGTCACACTAGCATGTGAGCATTTGAAAAAGGGGACTGGGCTCACAAAGTAATGTGAGAGCTTTGATCGTCATGCAGGTCCCTAAATTACTTTAACTGAAACTTTATTGATTTTGGACTAAATAGCGTTTTTGGCAGCTGTGTGATTATTTTCACAGCTTGTAGACACATTAGTTTACCTTTTTGTGAACGGTCCTTGAATTTTGTATGTAGGGCTGAACCTGGAGACTAAGTGGATGACAGGATATTTATTGTGATAGTCTCACTCTTTTTGTCTTAAATTATTGTTATTGGGTATGAGGATATATTGTATTAATTGAATAAAAAAATAACACATTCCTCCCCACCAGTTATTTGCTTTGATATCGTTCCTTAAATAATTTCCTCCGCATCATAGTTTAAACCACAAGATAGCATCAGGACTGTCACTCATGTTCAGGTATTGCGCACCCATCACCAACCGTTCCGATTTGACGCCCATGACCGAATGGACGCGCAGCCTTGAAGTCGACGCACGGTTATAAGAGAGAGCGCGGGCTGTGAGGTGGAGATCTTACAGAGTATAAGAAGAGGGTTGTTCACAGTCAGAGCGTTACACAGACAGCTGACCGCTGCTAAGGAGCCAGCCTCTCCGCCACTATCCGGATATCGCACCGGGGAACGACTTCAGCTCTTTTACGCACAGGCTCTCTGCTTCCCAAATTCTTTTTTTGGAACAATTTCACTTTTTTTCCCACTCATTACATTTACTCGGACTCCATTCCCTTACAAAAAAATAAGTTCATTGCGATATTTTGGAGAAAGTGGGCAGCGCAGCAGCATGGAGCCGTACACGGTCCCGGGAGCTCAGCTCTCCCTGTCAGACCTTTACTCCGTCATCCCCTACAATGTCACCTTCCCGGACGAGGAGAGCGGCTTGATGGGCGGCAGGCTGCAGAACTACACGGAGCAGAAGGGTCCGGTGAGGAGCGCCGGGGGGATCATCATCGCCATATCCATCACGGCTCTCTACTCCGTTATCTGCGTGGTGGGACTGCTGGGCAACGTCCTCGTCATGTACGGGGTGGTCAGGTAAACACTGCTGCTGTTTTTCTTAATTACAGTCGTTAAACGCAGCGTGTCAAATGTTTGCAAAGACAAAAGAAAAAAGACAGAAACAGTCTAAACAGACTCCATTCATTCCAGTTTCCCTGTTTCATTGTGCAGAGACCTTTGACCGACACTTGGAAAGTGTGAGTTTCATTCATAATCTCACAATTTTAACACATTATAGTGCGTTTTCATTAAAAGTCTTACACTTGTTCATTATTTTTGCGTGTAGCCGTAACTCATCCCTCCCTCAATAAACTCTATAAACTATGATTTTTTCTACAATGCATTGCTGAAATTGTGACTTGCAAAGGTCCAATGTTTAGTGCGTGTGCATAGACATGCAAAAATTGATAAATAAATAAAAAGTTTGAGAATTTAATTTGATTATTCTTTTATCCCCCATAAATGTCCTGCTAGTATTAAGGGTTTGAATTTGGGGATGGGGATGGGGCTACACCCTAAACAGGTGATCTGAGGTCCTTGCATAAAGCATGAGTCATGTTTCGTGTTTTTACGCACAGCATCAAAATGTGCAAGATTTTATTTTAACATTGATTTTGGTGGGATGAGAGTGTCAGCTCTTGTCTCAGGTGCAGTTAGCTCTCACATCACCAGATGCTCTTGTCCAGTGAGTCTGAGGGGAAAAGAATATCCTGCCATTAGAATATTCAATATATTCATATTGGCTTTATTTGTTCTCTGATCTGTTGTTCTTGATTGTTCTTGTTAAAATGTAGGTTCTGTGTTTACCTCCTTAAAAGCATATAAACAAGAATGATGAAACCATTGCTTTTAAAAATCAAAGTGTCAACACATTGAATGAACGACGGGTCATTTTTTCAAAGCTTAAAGTTTGTGCTTTTTTGGAAAGTGAGCTTATTTTGTTCATTACTGTTTTTTTTTTTGACTGAAAACTGTTAGGTTGAAGTCACAGTTTGCCTCAGCTCTTAAAGCAATATACACTATGACCCCCCCACCCCCTTCTGTCTGATACAAGTTTTCTGTCATTCTGTGGAAAAACCTGTCAGCCCTGACCTGCATGCTTGTCAGGTAAAAAAAGCCTCTATAGCGTTGGCAGCAGCTCAGCTTGTTCTCCCTCATCATATTAATTACACCGTAATCACTGTATGTGTTCACCCAATATCATCACAGCTTTAATTACACCAGTGAGGCGGGGGATTAAAAAAGCAGGTTGAATTAATTTCATAGGCCCCTATATCAGAAGTGCAGGATAACTCAGCTAGGCAGAGGCAAAGCAGTGTTCACTTTTCAGGTCACGTACATGACATGACACATGAGAATGACAAGAAATAGCTAGTTATTATTTTTCTGTAAAGTGAAAAAGAAAAGCAGAGGGAAAGAGGCCAGGGAAAAAAGGATCAATATGGAAAAAAGCCACAAGCAAGTCCTTTTCTGCACATGCAGACTTTGGAAATCGAACCACGAAAAATCCATAAATATTCAGAACTCCACCCATTATTCCCATTCAGGAGTTGCAATGAGAAGAATGGGCAAGACATAATACCTTTGACAATAAACAAAGAGGATGTGGGTGAGTTAAGAGGGAGACAAAGAGAAGATGGATGAGAGCTCCGAAAAGGCAGTGAATCAAATTGTGCACGGCTATTCGTCAGGCATTTGTGTTTGTGTGAGCGAGGAGACTCATCAGTGATGCTAGACCCCCCAGAGACGGTAGCAGGGAGGGGAAGCTGAGCACATTAACCATGCCCGTCAGAATATATTATCTTCTGTGGAACATCTTCAAACTCTGCACAGAGCAAACTTAAGAGATGGCAGCAAAACTTTGAAAGAAAATGAAATGCTGGATTAAAAATTAACCTCGTCCTCATCAATTATCCTCTTGTAGTTTGTAAACCGTCCCCTGATGCACAGTGTTTAGCAGTGCACTGATTCTAAAAATCATGGCAGATTCCGAAGTTTAGAATAATTTAGCCTTTTGCCAATTCTGATATGAATATATATTTTCAATTTTTAAGTTGTTACTAGTCTCTCCTCTTAAAATCTCACTGGAACATGTCTGACAAACTGAAAGTCACTGATTTATCCCAGAGTTTTTACAATAGATGACTTCCTCTGCCTAATTTGGTAGACTAGCTTGCCATCATTGTCACAATCGAGAAATTGGCTACTGACAATGGTGCATGCCACATTGTTTGCAGATGTGTCCATGTCCGTCAAAAAGACCAATGATAGTCGATACTGAAGTTCAACTGATGCATCGTGCATTCCTAATGAAATAGCAGCTTCTCTGTGTTTTTTTTTCTGTATTATCATTAAGATAGCATTTACTGGTTAAGACTTGGAATGTAGTCTTGGTAGACTTGGCGACCCCTGTGGTTGCAGCGTATAACAACAAACATATATTTTTTAAAGTTATGTCATTCCTAAACAAAGTGAGTTCATGATATCACCTAGAGCAGAGGTTCTCAACTGGTGGGTCAGGACCCAAAAGGGGGTTACGGAGCCATTTTCAGTGGGTCGCCAATGTGTGCCTCGAACAAATATTGTGTCAAAAAGTTTATGAAGCACTTTTTTCAACATGTTTGTTTTGTTTCGTTTTCTTTGTTCTGTCACGTTTTGTACTGTCGGAGGTCCAAACAGCACAATATTTCATTGAACAAATCTGATTGGTTGAAAATTATCTGAAATTCTGGTCGCAATTTTTTAATGAAAGGTTGGTGGTGGGTCCTGAGGCTTGACCAGTTGAGAACCACTGACCTAGAGGCTCATTGAAGCAGTATGACCTCAAATAGACTGATTCTTTAGTTAGAAGAGGGACAAAACAATACCAACATTATTTACATCATGATGTTGAATTGGATAATGTCTTAATTCCCTCTCCCTTGTCCACTGAACTTGACATATGAGCCCTTTGCTAATATGCAGTCCTGAAAATGTCTAGACAATATCAGGACAGGTGGCCCCTGCAATCTTCCTAAATGACCTGTAAACAAATGCACCGGACGGCAGGAGACACCATTATACCGTATGTGTCTATGGTACTTTCTTCTCAGATTCAAAATGGTTTGGGCAGACCTAAACGGGGGCACATAGATGGTGTACAGGCATGTAGTGTCGTTGAAAGAGGCCGGTTGGATCTAAAAATGCCAGGACAAAATGTTTTACCCGTCCAGCGCTAACCTCGGCAGTTCGATAAAATACATTGGATTTAAGAAACCAAATAGCATTTGAAAGCATCCTTTTGTCTTTGTTTTGCCTTGAACACTAGGTTGCTCCTAAAATCTGTATCACTCATTAATTTAAGATGTTACCATCAACTTATATTCCTAGATAGAGACAATGAGATGCACACAAACCCCATTTACTGTATTGTTTGCATGGATGGTCATGTCAGTATGAATTTGGGTTTGGGGCTAGTGATGCATGTAGAGCCTCTCGATCTGACCGCAGATGGAGAGGCTGTTAGTGACACCTGGAGATGGTCCATGCTGGTTAGGTCAGCAGCTCCTCTTATCTTGCAGCTTTCCTCTCCTCTGCCTTGACTCCTAGCTGTCACCACACCCGTCTGATAAGAACTGGTTCAGTGCTCATGCAATTTATTGCCAAGTGGCCTTCATTTGAAGTCATTTAGGTGTGCAGCAAGTGGAAGACTGGATAAGAGGGAAAGTGGATTGTTAACTGAACTGCAGATCTTGGACAGCGATCTGATCCAGTACATTGATATTTGGGTTTGGTCATACTTTGGCAAAGAAAGAAGATAAAGCTTCAGCATGATGCTCCTGATACTCAAAGGGGTTCATTTTCCAGGGCCGTTTTTTCTCCTCAATTCTAAAAGTGTTTTACCCTGATTTTAGAAGGTTTAATATTCCAACCCTAACCCATCACCAAGAAAACTGTCCTCATGAACTGGAAGTCGAGAAAAAAAAAAACAATATTGCACATTTGAAAAACGTACTCATCGAATATATATTAATGGAACAACTAACTGCCTCAGTCAGAAAATGAACTGCCCAATTTGCACACACGCACGCACACACACGCACACAAACACACATACACACACATACACACACACACACACACACACACACACACACAACACCCACCTGGCCCCCATGCTCTCTTATCCGATTCTCCCTTTTCTCTCTACCTTTCTGAACCTTCCTTTACATAAAACCAGTCGTCTGAAATATCAATTTACATTTTCTCCAATTAGTATTATTATAATCATTATTATTCCATTGTTGAATCTCGTCCTTGTTTTTTTATTATCTATTTTTTATTTTTTTGTGACTTCTGTGGACGATAATACATCAATCCCTTATCAAAACAGGCTACTGCATTTGGGGCCGGCTTCCCTCTGCTGGGTCTGGTGGCCTCTCCCTCTCATGTGTGCTTGCTTCACTGCAGTCAACTACCGCTAAAACATAATCATTACACAAACTTTCACCTCTCACACCGCAACATTGTTCAACATCAACATATTCAACACATACCATACACACTGCTCAACTCCTCAACTCTCTTCTACCTCTCAAGTTCCCCTTACAAAGCACCTTCTCTCCCTCCCTTTCTCTCTTTCTCTCTATCGCTTCTTTCACTTCTTGTATCCTTTCTTAGGTATCTCGTATCGTTTTGTAATGTATTTGCTGGTTGTGTTTTGAAGTTGCTGTCCTGACCTTGTCTGTTTGTTTTTTTGTGCCTCATTTGTGTCACCAGTTTGTCACTCTACTGCACCTAATAAAAAAAATATATATATATATTCCAACAGGCATCAAACACGAACAGTATTATGTGAAAGCAGCGACAGCATTACAACACTGGAGTTAAGCATAAGTCTGTGAGGAAATGATTAGATGGTGATGGAGTCAGACTGCACGTAAACGGCACGAGATGTTGCCTCTTAAGAGTTCATTATACACTCTTTAATAATACAGCGACGTGAGCATTCAGTCGTTATAGATATACAAGATTGCATTATACACTCAAGTCATGTT